GGATCCTCCCTTCCAGCCCTGGATCCTCTCTTCCAGCCCTGGATCCTCTCTTCCAGCCCTGGATCCTCTATTCCAACCCCTGGATCCTCTCTTCCAGCCCTGGATCCTCCCTTCCAGCCCTGGATCCTCTATTCCAACCCCTGGATCCTCTCTTCCAGCCCCTGGATTTTCCCTTCCAGCCCTGGATCATCTCTTCCAACCCCTGGATCCTCTCTTCCAGCCCTGGATCCTCTCTTCCAACCCTGGATCCTCTCTTCCAACCCTGGATCCTCTCTTCCAGCCCTGGATCCTCTCTTCCAGCCCCCAGCCATGCAGTTCTGCCCTTATAAAGTTGGGGTCAGGGAAATATAAACCTGTATGGATCAGACTGTAAATCTGCCACCACGGGCAAAGCTGCAAAGGCAGCAGCAAAGGTCACTCCCACCACTTTTCCCCCCATGACCAATCCAGACTTTTTCTCTAAGGATGAGCTCCCATGAGCAAGACCAAACAATGAAGCAGGGCTGGGGGTCTCTTTACTCTCTCCCCAAAGAGCAGTAACCCAGATGGATGAACATCCTGAGCTCTCTCTGTGTTTGCCCTGACCACAATTACAGGGGTGGAGCACCCACAGCTTCTCTGGGCACCCTGTGCCAGGGCCTCCCCACCCTCACAGGGAAGGATTTCTTCCCAATATTTGATCTAAATCTATTCTCTTTCGGTTTAGTTATTCCCCCTTTTTTCTGTCCCTCCATCCCTTGTCCCCAGTCCCCCTCCAGCTCTCATGGAACCCCTTCAGGCACTGGAAGGGGCTCTAAGGTCTCCCTGCAGCTTTCCCTTCTCCAGGTGAACACCCCCAGCTCTCCCACCCTGTCCACATGGCAGSTTTTCCTCTGCATCCCTGAGTTTTTCTGCCTCCAAAATGGACCAGGCTGTACCCAGGAGGAGGCAGCATCACCCAGCTGAAATGAGGATCAAGCCAGGAATTTTCAGGGCATTGTCCCAACTGGCTCTAATATTTAGTAATGGCTCTGCATCTTATCCTTTTTAAACTTAGGAGGCTGTGGGTCTCTTCCAGCTAAATTAAGTGACTTTATATGAATGAAAATGTACTGCAGAGGGYCCTGAGGACATCAGAGAAGTCAGGAGCTATGGAGCTGCATTTTATGGCAATACACAGGTTAACAGACCCCAAACCTCACACCTGAAGATGTTGACTTCAGTGTCAACTGGGAAACACAAGCTTTTAGACAACCATTGCATGAGGGAGGTTTTGGCAAGAACCAGCCTGGGAGCAGCCCCTGTGGTCCAGGACGCTGTGAACTTGTTGCACACCAAGAAGGAGAAATGCTGCAGAGTGTAAAGAAACAGCWAACACATCTCAAATATCTCAGTGTGGTTTGTCAGGGCTGTCACACCTCCATCATTGCAGTGTTCTGGGGAGGTGTCCCCAAACCAACAAACCTGCCAGCCTTCAGTGAAATAAYCAGCTCATTATCAGCTACCAAAGCAGAGAGGCCAAAAAAAAAGAGATATTTGGTTTTAGTGTGCACAGTGACAGGTTTATATTCATTATTTAAAGGTGTAAGCCAGTGACCTTTGAAAAAGCCCCATGACCAGGCAGGTGCTGATGAGCCTTGTGGTTCCAAGTGAGGGTGTTTACCTGAATTTTCCTGCTCTGGAGGATGCATAGGAATTGTTTCAGCCTTCAGAGCACAAGGTGAACACACCAGAGGCAGAAATATGGCAGAGGACCAGAGGACTTTTTGCCATTAATATGYCAGAGCCAGCTAGAGTTGGGATTTGCCTGCTCTTACCATGCCCCAGGCTCCGAGGAGGAAGAGCTGGGATCCAGGCACTGCCTTCCTCCCTTGGAGTGCTGCTTCTGCTGCCAGGTCAGGAGGAAAAAGCCAGTTTTGCTCCCAAAGGTACCATCCCCTGTGAAGCACAGCCGTTCTTGGCACAGGGGAATTTCAGGAGAGGGGAGGGGGAACAAAAGCAACTGGATCGGGAAGAATTCCAGCTTCATATCCCTGCAAGGACCTTTCCTTATTTCTTCATGGTCTCCTGTGCTTTCTATACCCTTCAGCTTTGTGTGATGAGCTTCCTCTCCTCCCTGTGCCCTGTCCCTGTCCCCCTCTGGATTAGCACCCTGCTTACAGGCAGCAAACCCCCAGGCCCACTGCTTGGTTCCACTCCTTTTGAGAAGTGTCAAATATTTGGAGAAGGAACAAGGTTTTATTTTGTTATTATTTCCCTGGAAAAAGTTCTGCTTTCTGCAGAGGGAGTTTGCAAGGTTCTGGTGTCTGGCAGAGCAATAAGTTCTGCTGGCTGCCAGCAGTATGCAGGTAAGATGTTCTCAGCCGAGTTTTTGGGATGTTCTGACCTTGTGCCCTTTCCCCAGCGGTGTTYGGGCAGCGCCTGGCAGACACCATGGCCTATGAACAGAAATTTGGGCAGCAGCAGGTGCCCATCCTGGTGCAGAAAAGTGCAGAATTTATCCGGGAGCACGGAGTGAGCGAGGAGGGAATCTTCCGCCTCCCTGGCCAGGACAACCTGGTCAAACAGCTCCGGGATGCCTTCGACGCCGGGGAGAGACCCTCGTTTGACAGGTAACKCTGGATTCCCCCTCTCCCCAACCCAAATTCCAGGGAAAAGCAGCCAGTCTGACCCTCCAGAGCCCTGCAGTGTTCTGCAGGAAAGCTGGACCATCCAGAAGGGCTTGATGAGGAGAGAGGGTTCAGCAGAAACCACAAAAAGAGAATCAGAGGGTGCTGAGGTGAGATTCGTGGAAATAAAGGAAAGCATTTAGGAAAATCCTGGCCACGTGCAGCAATTATGGTTTGCAGGAGCAGCCAAGGAAGGAACAAAAGGAAGAACYTGCACTGCCTATCCACTGGGGGCTTTGAGAAAAAAGAGCAGGGGCAGGGTCTCAATTAAGCTCAGAGAGCACTCTTGTACACAGCAGAAGTTGTTCTTTTCCCTGCCACGTTATTTTCCTCCTGTTGCTTTTCCCTACAATCCCGCATAGAGATGGGAGAGATGTTGAGAGATTTTTGCTGCTGTCCCCCTGCCCCTCCTCCTCTGCAGGGCCAAGAGGACTGAGAGCAGGAGAGCCCCCTGTTCCAGCCCACAGGAGAGAGACTCTGCAGCTGCTGCCTCTGTCATGCCCTGTGCAGAACAAGAGAAGGAGGATAAAGCCCTGGTGGGACCCTTCCCAAAGCCCTCCCTCCAGTGTCTCCCATTCTCCAGGRTTCTCACCTGTCCCCYGTGATTGATCCCCTTGATTTTGGCYCTGGTTGCCAAGGCATAGCCCACYCTGCCCTGCTCACCTGTGCTCCAGGGCTCCAACCCCCGTTTTGTGCTGGTGAAAGCCACAACTCCAGAGCTGGGACACAGGAAAAGTGGTTCCTGCCTTTCCATGGCACCTAAAGGGAGGATTTTTGTCTCAATTCCTTCCCTACCCTGAGACAAGGATTGCCCAGGCTGCTGCTGTGTGTGTGAAGGTGACACTGGCCATGGGGATGTGGGGATGCTCTGCCTGTGTGGAATTTGGGAGCAGCCCCTGTGGAACCTGAACTCCCAGAGCTACCAGCAATGGATGCTTGAGGGAGAGGAGCCCCAAAACCAGGAGCTRCCCTGGATTCTTGTGCAAAGCCCATCTCGCCTAAGCATCATGCAGGGGCATCATCTCTCTRCTCACAGATCTGTCCCTCACCACAAAACCTTTCCTGGTTTTATCCAGCTTTCTAAGAAAAACCCAGCACCTTCACCTTAATCAGAAAACCATCCCACCAGTGGCTTTGTAGCTGAAAAATTCTCATTTCCTGGGTGCTGAGCCCTGCTCAGAGCTTTCTCTTGGAACCTGTGGGGGCCCATTTTTTAAATTTTGGAAGCCTTTTTTAATTTTKGCAGAGCWGTTCTGCAGTGGGGCAYGGCCAGGGAGCTCAGCCCTCCCCATGGTGTTCCCCCTGTGGRTTTGCAATGAGCATTGCTGGAGTGCTCTCAGGTTGACTACARCCCCCAGGCACCCCAACCAAAACATTTTCTCAGTGAGCAGGAAGGCAAATAATGGGGTTTGCAGTGACCTGAGAGCAGTGAGGTGCTGGCATGACCTTCAGTGCATCTTTGCAACCTGTTGGGGCTTTCAGGGGTTTTCACACACACAACCATGGCAGGGTTGAGGGGGGAGTGTTAGAAAGCTGCTTTTGCAGTCCAGACCCTCAGGATGCCTGATGGAGTGTATTGTAGGTCCAACAAAACCTCTGTCCTGGCAGAGGAGCTCCAGTAATTGCTGCTGGTCTGAAATCCCAGGGARGCTCTGCCAGCTCCACACTGGGGAGTGGGGCCAAGCATGGGTGCTCCAGGAAGAATCTGCACATGGACCCTCCACACCCCAGCTGAGATGGCTTTGCTTGCAATGGGGAGATGGGAGAAGAGTTTTGCTCCTTTTTTCTTGGTTCTCCACCCCTTTCAATGCAGTGACAAAGAGCCAGGGTGGTGCTTCAGACTTGCAGCTCCCACTCATGAAATAACGTGGATCCACAGTTGTACGGAGGGTGAAGAAAAGTGATTTTAGGTTCACAAAGTAAAGGAGGGACACTAAGACAATACCTGGCCAAGAGCCTGTGTTGTGTCAGGAGCAGCTGCTCTTGACTTTGGCTCCTGCTTGCCCAAACCTGCGGCTGGGTGATGGAGCAGCCAGGAAAAGGGACTGTGTGCCAGGGTCCAGCACTTCCCAGCTGGGTGGGGCTGAGACTGTGACTTTGTGCCTGCTCAAAACTTGGCTTTGGGAGGAGGCAGGAGCTCTAGAAGTGAATTTCTTGCTATCCCAGCTCAGCCCAGGTATGAGGTGCTGAGCCTTCCCTTTCGAGGTGGCCTTTATTTTCTGGGCAGCTGGGGCCATTCCCTGGTTTGAGGGGCCATGTGGATCCCACCCCCACATCTCTCTGTCTCCACATCTGCACACAGAGCTCCAGCAGGGCCTCCCTGGGCTCTGAGCTGCTGTGTTTGGGTTTCACTCAGTCTTTGCCCGTTGCAGGGACACCGATGTCCACACTGTGGCCTCCCTGCTCAAGCTCTACCTGCGGGAGCTCCCGGAGCCCGTGGTGCCCTGGCTGCAGTACGAGGATTTCCTGCTCTGTGGAAAGGCACTGGAAGCTGATGAGTCAAAGGTAGAGATGCTTTGGTTTTCCTTCTCCTGGCCTTCAAATCAGCTTCAGCACCAGAGCTTTGTGAGCTGGAGGTGCCAAGTGCACAGCGTTATCATTTGTGTAGTTACTGAGCTTTGGCATCTGGGGAGGAAAAAAAAGAAGGAAAAATATTAAAAAGAAAAACTTTCCCAACTCCAGYAGGGTTTTCCAACTTAACCACGTGGATTTCTGAATTTTAAAGCTTAAAGTTCTGCTCAGCACCTCTTTTTGTGGAGCCTTTGGAGCAAACAAATGTGAAAGGACAGAAGGAAGCCCCAACATCCTGCATGCTCCACCTGCCTGAGCTGAGTGCAGAGCTGGGAGGGGTCCTGGGRGGCACCAACGAGGGAATTGGAGATTTGGGAGAGGGAGAAGTGAGCAACAGATGGGAATTGTCTTTTTCTAACTATATATTTTGGTGGAAAAGAAGCTCTGCCTTTGCAAAAAAAAGCCACCCATGGCTGCTGTTCCTGTAGATGGAACCACAGAATCCCAGAGTGGTTGGGATTGGAAGGGACCTTAAAACACATCCAGYTCCACCCCAACATGRGCAGGGACACCTTCCATWGCCCAGGTTAACCAAAGCTCCACCCAACCTGGCCTTGAACACTTCCAGGAATGGGGAAATACAAAAACAGTGGTGAAAAACACACGAAGCCATGATGTGAATCCTCTGGGAGCTGCTGTGGGAGCTCAGCCCAGTGCTTCCAGGGAAAATATTTCTCATGGTTTTTTTCACTTCAGGATCTTTGGGGTTAAAAATGTCCAAAATATTTACACACAAGACACTGAAGGAGATGAGGCAGGAGCAGCTCTTTGCAGAGAGCTCCTCACATGTGCCCTTTGAGGGGACCCTGCTCCTTCTGGGGCTGCCTCTCCTTGCTGGCAGAACCTTTTCATGTCCATACTGGGCCTGATGGACAAATATAACTTCCAGGGTGAGCAAATGCCAAGAGAATCAGAGCCATGGAATCTTTGAGGTTGGATTAGACCTTTAAGATCTTTAAGTCCAACCATCAGCACAGCACCACCACGGTCACCACTGCCCCATGTCCTTGAGTGCCACATCCAGATGTGTTTGGAGCACTCCCAGGGATGGGGACTCCACCACTGCCCCATGTCCTTGAGTGCCACATCCAGATGTGTTTGGAACACTCCCAGGGATGGGGACTCCACCACTGCCCTGGGACTGGTGGAATCATCAGAGGGAGACACCACACAGGCATGGATGGAGTGACCAAGAGCTGTTCTTGAGTCCATGTGTGCCTRTGAATCTTCCTGGAGCTGTTTCTTACCTGCATTTAGGGCCATCAGGAGCTCCTGAAGCAGCTGTCCCTCCTTCCCAGAGACAACTACAATCTCCTCAGCTACATCTGCAGGTCAGTGCTCTGCACAAGGCACCAACAGCTCACATTTGGTGTTGGGGAGCAGAAATGTCATCCCAAAGGATGACTCCTCTGGACAGCCTRTTCAAGCTGTGCTTTGGTTTTCTCTGAATCATCAGATCCCGATTTTTGTAGAGGAGAATTTGAGCCCCTGGGATTAACACCTTGACAATGTCTGAACATAAATTACCACCTTCAAACTCAATTATAAATTCCTGAGAATTAAAATCAGGAGTAGTTTTCCTGGACAAAAACCTTATGCACCAAAACTTCTGTGTTTCATCCAGTCTGGGTGGTTTTTCTCTGGTTATAGCTTTGATTCCCTTCCTTTCTGATTTGTTTTTAAGGGGAATAGCTCCTCACATGGTGGTTTTTATTCTGATACCAGTAAGACCCAGCTCCWGTACACCCTTCTAAGGCCACCCTCTGTGACTGAGAGGAAGAGCTGGAAGGATGAATCAGGATTTTACACCMGTGAGGTTTTTTTGCAGTCTTCCACCTTTGATGTGAAATATTTGCTCTTGGATTCTGGCAGGTTTCTCTATGAAATACAGCTGAACTCCAGTGTCAACAAGATGAGTGTGGATAACCTGGCAACAGTGATYGGAGTGAACCTCATCAGACCCAAGATAGAGGATCCTGCAATTATTATGAGAGGTAAAAGGGGCTCCTGGAATAATTGGCACAGGAGCACCTGGCTGCTAAAATACTGAGTTGCAYCCACAGTCTTGAAATTAAGAGAAAATCGGAGAGCTGTGGATATAAGCCAGAAATGTGCCTGAGTACAATGAGAACAGCAGGGCAGAATCAAGCCAAGTGTTTGTTAGGCTGTAAAGGTGTTTATGGTGACAAAACCCCCTTAGGAACTACACTGCATATTCCCTTCACAGAGCTCAGCTGACTCGGGGGTTTGCTGAGGTCGTATCTGTGTTGCTCAGAGCAGAAAGGTGTAAAATTCTTCTGGGGGAAACAGGAAAATCAAAGAAATGAGTGTTCAGCTGAGCCAAACTGTGATCGTGTGGGCAGGGGCAGAAGTAGCACAAGTGACAAAAGAAATGTTTTAAGGTCCAAGGCTGCTCTGCTCCACAGGCATCACATCAAACAGGGGACTCAGCTCCTTCTGTCATTGCCTCTCCTTGCAGAACCTCTCCATGTTCCTGCTGTGTCCAGTAGGGATGGACAGCATGACACAAATAACGAGCAAAAGATACAGACACAGACAGACACAGACATAGCACTTTATTGTGGGGCTGAACCCCTTTTATCTACCTAGCAACAGGTGTATACTAAGTCTTCTGCATAAATGGAACTATCTATTGGCTATTTGGCAGCCCCTTCTCTGCTCATCAGCATATGATTGGTGTGTTGCAAAAGCTGCAGTGTCATTAATTCTCGTGATTTTGCTCTGTCTTTGGCCCCTGCCCTAACTTTGTTCTTCTTCAACATTCCTCTTTCCTTTTCTCACAGTCAAGGCCACTCAGTCTCGTTGTTTTGGTACAGCCTCCTCTGTCTTGTCCTCCTCCATCCAGACTTTCAGATTCCCTTTTGTTTTTCCAGATCTCAGGGGTACACTATTATTGGTTGGATTTCAGATTCAGTACCTGCAAGGCTGCAATGCCAACTCGTGGAATCACTAAGGCTGGAAAAGACCTTTGATACCATCAAGTCCAGCCACACATCTGATAGCAGGGCTTTGCTCTTGACCCAAAGGGTCACATTTTGTGGCTTGGTGCACCTGAGCAGACTCCTGGCTTGGTTGCTCCATATCCTGCTCCTGCTATTCCAGGGAGATGTAAAAACCACTCCCTTGATTTGGCTTTCTGATCCTGGTTTTCTGCTCCATCTCCATTTTAGACACCAGAGAAATCCAAGTGGTGGAAGGGATCCCCTGGCCTTGGGTTTGCCCCTGACAATCTCTAATTCCTCCAGGCACACCCCAGGTCCAGAAGGTGATGACTGTGATGATCAGTGACCATGAAAATCTCTTTCCCCCATCCAAGGATGTGCCACCCTCCCCACCTGCCCAAAAAACTGAGAAGAAAGCTCCTGTCCCACGCAGCTCTGTGGGCTGGGGAGCTGGAGAGAACCCCACAGTGCCCAGAGGCTCCATCCAAAGGCAAATGGTAAGGACAGACCCTCAGGGAAATAATCAAACCTGCATTAATTAAATGTGTGATTARTTGTGACTGGCTCTGACAGTCAGCAAGCCCTAAGAACACTTGCTATTTATAGGTTAGAAAGCTGTATCTSTCATTCCTGGAATATTTACATCAGGAAAATGATGTAGATAAACTTTCCACTTTCCTGTGGAAAATCTGCTGTTCTGGGAAATATGAAAACTCCCAAAGCTTTTTGGCTAAACAGCCAAACACATGAAACCTTTTCAGCTCAGGCTGGTGAAGGGAAAACATTGGAGATTATGGTTTTTCTCAGAAGGAGTCTCTGCAAAAAGTTCTTTTTGATGCTAAACACRGTACAATTCCAGATAGTTTTTTATGGAAAACTGTGGCTGCCACCAGGTTGAAATGTGCCCTTTGTAAACYTTGCAGTCGCTGCAGTGGCTGTGACCTTTCTGCTCTCAGAGCAGGACCGGGCTCTTCTAAAGCCACGCTCTGTTTTACAGAGGGCTGACCCCAATTCCAGCAGTGCCCCCGGCCCAGCTGCGAGCTCGAGTGTCCCCGGGGAAGATACAGAGTCCAAAGACACRCTGGGAACGTGGAAAACACAGTCAAGGAAAAGAACTCAGACTTTACCTACAAGGAAATCTTTGCTGACAGCAGCTCCTCCGGAGGAGAAAGGCAGCAAGGACAAGAATGACATCTTTGCCAGTGACTTTTGGCAAAGCTCCCCGGGGAGCAGCACACGCCCTGCAGCCTCTGATGGACACAAGAGAACATTGTCTCACGATCTTTTYAAGCTGCTCGACCTTCACAGGGCTCCAACCTGTGACAATGTTCCCCTCTCGCAGGCAGAGAGTGGGGAGGGCAGCGGCTCCAGCCCCAGCCCTTCCAGCAGCATCTCCGAGAAGGAATTTCTGCCCTGCTTCAGTCCCACCAGCAGCCCTGCTGAGGTCTCCAAGCCTGATCAGGAGAGCAGGGAGTTCCTGCAAAACATGATCCTCAAGCTGGAAAARGATCTGGAGGCACAGAAAAATGACTATGAGAAACGAATTACAAGGTAACTGCAGGGAGCTGCTTTCTGCAGGGTGGGAAATGTGCAGCTTGTGTTGTGACAGCAAACACAGCACAAATTTAATTAGCAGTAATATTATGCAGTATGTAATAGTAATGATTAATGATAAAATATAGTATATAGCAGGCTATCTAAAAATCAGTGTGCTGTACTGTACGAGTTATACTCTCATGGCAATGGGTAATGTATTATTGCAACATTAATACTTCATAGCTCTTATGACATCACTATATGGCACTGCAATATTCCTGCAATAATTACACTGTCATAATTCTTGTTATTACCACAATATTGGATGATTATACTCTCCAGAATTCACCAGTAGCATTATTCCACCATTGGTTGTAACCATCAGTGTTTAKAGCTCCACATATTGTTATTATATTATGCTTATTATCCCATTATCAATACACACTTATCATGTTTACTGATTTATTGTATCAAATTGTGCGGCCATTGAGGGGCTCAGGACATCACCTCTGGCTTGTTTTGATGCTTAATCACACTGAAGTTAGGCTCCTTAAGAGCCAAATGATGATTTTCCAGCGCTTTTCCAATCAAATCCTTTCATGCTCTGTTTCCCTTTGAAGTCTCCAGAAGGAAAACTGTGAAGTCTGGGCCAAAGTGGGGAGGCTGAACCAGGACATTGAGCAGGAGAAGAAGAAGTCTGGAGAGCTGGAGCAGAAGCTGATGAACATGGAGCGCTTGTGGGGTGACCTGGAGAAGAAAACCAAGATGTTTGAGGAGGAGATAAAAAACTTAACTAAATCCACAAGTAAAACTGGTGCCAAAACCAACTAGGAGGAGATGCTCAGCTTTGCACAGACACAAAGTGCAGCTGCACGAATCCAAAGGAATTGCAGGTTCAGAGCCAGGATCTTGTATTTTTCTGTGCCCTGCTACTGCCCCACAAGCTGAGTGGGAGGAAGGAGATCAGAGCTTAGGGGCTGGTTTTTGCTCTGGACCAGGAAATTTCAAAAATACCTTTTAGCTTTTTTTGGTGTTTATTTCARCTCCTCTTTCAGCTGCTCAAGTTACCTGGAGAACAGGCCAGCACTTCCTGTTGCTCAGTCAGAATGTCTCACTCGGAAGATTGGGGTATGGATGCATGATGCCTTTACAAAACCAAACCAGTGCCTGTCTCCTTGCTGGAGATATCCACATGTAAAACACCCCTGAATTCTGGATCTGGGCAGGTAGAAGAGCCTCAGTCTGGGGTAGCACAGCCCATGAGCAGTGCCTGCACTGTGGAGGTGCTCACATCCATCACAGCTGCTCAGTGCTTTGTGTGGCAAGACAAGCCCAGCAGGCTCTGACATCTCCTGCAGCATCCCCTGCTGTGCTGTGCCAGCCATCCCTGCCATTGCTCCAGGCACAAGAGCCCAGGATCACACAAACCTTCTCAGTTCTGTGGTCGTTGCGTTGTTTTAAGTCACTGCTCCCTACAGCCACGTGTTCCTAAATCCAGCACAGCTGACAAAGCTTGGGGAGCACTTTCACACATTTCTACTTGGAGCTCTTTGTGCACAGRGAGCCCATCAGCAACTTTCCCAGAAAGTTCTGCATTTTCTGTGATGATCAGACTTTAAAGGATGACAAATTTGGACTTATTGACCRCCCCTGCTTTGGTGTTTCATTATTTCTGAAGTGCCCACAGGATTTCCTCAGCCAGCTTGTGGAAACCTGGGTTTGCACCCCAGTGAGGATGTCAGGTCTCTCCCCATCACTTGCTGCCATCAGTGTAGAGACCACATGGACACAAAGGTGTCCCTGTGGCTATTTGTGACCTTTCTGCTTGTCCTCCACCCCTGCCAGAGAGTCGTCCTTCCAGCAGTACCACGGTGGTAATCCACTTCTTTTGATGCCTGATCTGGCTACCTAAAACAGAGGCCAGACAAAATTCAGAGAATCAAAAGCAGTTCTATTTATTTCAGAGCCTTCAGGGCCATTCAGGGCAGTCCCACACCCACAATGGACCATGGCTCACGGGTTTTTCACCCTTTCTCACTTTTGTCCATTTGCACATCGGGATTTGCTGAATCCTCCAATTGCAGCTGCAGCCAATGCAGTCATTGACTCCAACTTGGCTCCCCCAATTCTCTGTTGTTTCCATCTCTTGGGGCCTGGCCCAGGGAGGTGTCCTTGAGTTTGGGGCTGCAGAGGAATTGTTTTGTGCAAAACATGGGAGAACAGAAGCTCAGCACTCTATGTGGAGTCTAGAGTTATACATTAAGRATTACAGGAATTGCAGGATTACAGATACAAGAGAAATATAGAAGCTAAATCCTAAGGCATCTCCTGACACACTCAGATAAAGAGGTTCCAAAGTGTCTGCCACCATTTCACAGCAACTGCTGCCATTCACAGTTATTTTCTATGATTTCAGATGACCTTGATAGAGCTGCTCCAGTGTTTATTTCATTTTTTACCTTTGCAAGAAGCTCATCACTAATCTGAGTGTGAGGCTCAGGAGTCATTAGAGGGAAACTTCTCCATCGGGTTTAGGAGCAACATCATGAACATCTGGGTTGGAAATGCCACATGCTCCTTTCTGCAAAGATCAAAAGTGTGAAGAGGCCAATAATTCCTTCACAGCAGACTGTAATGACGTGCAAAGGCTTGGCTGAGGCTCAGAAACCTCCACCATTAGGACAAGTGCACGTTATTTTAGTATAAACYGCGCATTCCTCTGCTTCCGCTCAGATAGGCAAAACAGCCCCRTGGCTGCTGAGGATCAGAGGGACTCCTTTGAAGATATTCCACCCTTTAACATCTGCAAGGTTTATAGAGGTCATCTCTGAAAGAGAGACTTTCCAGCAGAGGTCAGGTGGRCTGGAAATTCCTGAGCCTGGAGGGAGGAGCAGCCTCAGAGAGCAACACGGGCACCTTGAGAGCTGGTGTTGTCCTTGGGTGCTGTTAGATAATGAGTGAGTTTTTTCCAGAGACAGAAAACCATGAATTACCCATACCAGACCTGTGAACTGCACTCTTTTCATCCCTGAGGGGGTGGGTGTCCTCTCTGCTTAGCCCAGAGCCTCACCTGAACACAGGCACTGCTTGAAGCTTGTTCTGGATCTTCTGCACTTTCTATTGGAGACATCACAACATGAGATTTCTGAAAACTGATTGATGCCCAGCCTACATTTCCTTCCTCTCTCTATTTATGCAGCCAGGCCGTGGAGCTTTTTGGAGTGGAAGCAGCAGAGAATTTCTCCTGTTCCTGGAGCAGGGGTTGCTGCGAGGGACATTATAAACTCTGGGGGGGTTTGGTGGCTCTTCAGCCCAGCAGTTTTGGGTCTGGATCCCCTGGAGAGTGTGATGCTACTCCTGTCATAAAACCACAACAGACAATAAAGCAAGAGCCTTTCCAGACCTGTCCTGTAGGCTTTTGGGAACCTSTGAAAAGGTATTTTTCACCCCTTAACCCTCCTACTGCAGTGTGAGGACAYAAAAGCTTTACCAAGGTGATAATGGGGGGATCACACAGAGGATTTTCCTCTTCCTTTAAATGTGATAGGGCTTTCCAAATTAAAGCAATTGAACCACAGATCCCAATGTATCTAAARCTGTTAAATGATGTAGTGTGGATGAAAGTAGATGAAAGTAAGRTATCTTTTAGTCCATCCTTTTAGTCACCTCACTGCATTCTTTGTGTTAGAGCAGAAACTCTGTTTTGCTCTTCTCAGACATTTACTGAATAAATTAATTTAGGAATTCACTCCATTGTGTCCAAGGTTTGGTGCGCATGAGAGGCAAGAAAATAAAATTATCCTTCCCACATTATTGTGTTTGGATCCCAAGCCAGTCACGCTTATTCTAACTTATCCCCTCATATTTATCAAAGATGCATTTTTGGCATGATAGGAGCTTTCCTTTTTTAGCTTGGCCACTGCACAAAGGAGCACGTTGGGAGGCGAGGTGGACGTGCRGGAAGTGTCCAGCCATGGCTGAGGAAGCTTTGTCCAAACCCCAGGAGCAGTGAGAACATGTTGTTCTCCCCAGCAATTCCAGAGTGATGCAGTCTGTCCTTCCTTTACGTGGGTGCTGAAAGATACCCCCAAACCAGGCTGCTTTAAGGARTAAACACTGCCCAATTGGGTGTATGAGCAACTGTTCTCCTAGGTGGGGAGAAAAAAGTGTCCCAAACACTGAGAGCAGTCCCACTGTCCCACTTTCCCTGGGTTTTCCTGCCACCTTGCTGTAGCACTGGGATCTACGAAGCCACATTGTCAAACTGGTCTGCAGGAAAAATTACCTGGAAAAGAGAAGTGTCCTGATAATGCCAGGGAACATGTGGGCAGGTGGAAACAGCCAGGGTACCAGGGGTGAGAGTTGTCCACATAAGCTCTTCCTTGGAGAAAATCCTCATCCATTGCAGCCCCAAACCCTGCAAGTTTAGGAACTGTGAGTTGTTCAAGCAGGCAAATGCCCCAAGTGCTGGCGTGGTGAACATGGCACAGAGACTCCAGCTGGGACAGCAGCTTCCTTGGAGAATTCCCATTGCTGGAATTGCCTGCAGGAGGGTCCCCAGCAGGGTCACCCTTGGAGCAGGAGTTCATCCTTTCCTCTGCAGGAGTTTTCTCAGCAGGTAATTCCTATAAACAGGAGTGCCCAGCGGTTAATTGGGCTTTGGGTTTCCTAAGAAGTAAGGTTTATAACTTCAGCCAAACACAGAGTCAGGAATTTGGGAGTGATTTTCCTGGCTGTGTGGTAGAGCAGAGACCTCAGTGGTGCTGCCACTGCRGGACTCCAGGGTGTGCTCAACCTTTAGGAAACACCAGAGAATTCACCAAGGTGAAAAGTCTACTGAGCAGCGAGTCTGAGGACAAAGAAATACCCTGTTTTCTCCTGTGCCCATCATGGGAAGAAGCTTCACAAAAAGCTTTCCTGTCCCTAAGGTCTCCCTGTCCCCCCTGCGTGGCCGAGGGCACCGATGCTCCCGGAGCTGTCAGCGGCCGCTGGAGGGGCTTGTGAAAATTTGTTTTATCACGCGTAAAAACACGATGTGATATTTCAGCCCTCTTCACACAATGTCCCGATAACAGGGGCTGGGAACAGGGGAACGTTCCTGTAATCTCAGCTGGCCCCAGCGTTTGCTGCATCCAGGGAGAGATTTCCAAATGAGCACATTCCCCCCAGCCAGGGGGGCAGGGGTTTGACCTCTCATTAATGAAATGAAGGCAATCTTGGCTCGGCACCTGCGTTCTGAGCATGTGAGAGGTAAACCTTTCCTTCCCCGGCAGTGTTGCCGTGTTTCCTTCCTCGTCTCCCTGATAAAGGCTGGCTCAGGCTGCCATCCAGCCAGAGAGGCTCCCYTTGAGCTCCATGTGCTCTGCATGAGTTTCACACTCAATCCCTAAGGCCAGTGGGGGGTTTTGAGTCTTTTCAATGACACCTTTACCCTGTGTGTCCCTTCCTGGAGCTCCGGGGATGGATTTTTGAAAGCTGTCAAATGTTCCTTTCACATGCATCCACATATCTGATGCCACTAAACGCTGGTGCTCATTTGAAGTGCTGAGCTCTATGGAAATGCCTTTCCAAAAGGAGTCAGGAGGTCAGCCAAGCACCCCAAGGACAGTTGTTCCCAACACAACAGCTACAGACAGTGCTGAGGAGTGAAAGGTCAACATGTCCACTGGAAACGGGAGTGCTGTCACACGCTGGGTTTCCGTCTCCACTGGGGGAGTGGGAACATGTGGGTTGCTTGCTGTATTCCTCCTATCCAGTGTCAAGAACGTTCTGCAAAGTGTGAAATGGGGAGAAATCACTTTTACAGCTTGCAGAAAACAAGGGGTACGTGTTTAGAAACCCATTATCTCCACAAAGCTGGATCTTTCATCTTGCTGGCAGCGGGAGGGCGTTGGCATAGGGTCAGGAACAGCACAGGAAGGATTGGAAAAGCAGCAGCAGATTAAATTGCTGTCATCCACCCTGACCCGTTCCTGCTCACTCAGACCTCCAGCCCCACTGATGATGGCAAGAAAGCTGGCTTTTAAAAATAAAATTGCAGCAGAGCCTTTATGCTGTTTGTCAGCTGTTGAGAAATCACAGACAGGGAGAGCAGCTGGGGTGAAACTCCCATCCCATGGCATCCCATGGCATCCCATGGCATCCCATCCCATGGCATCCCATCCCATGGCATCCCATCCCATGGCATCCCATCCCATCCCATCCCATCCCATCCCATCCCATGGCATCCCATCCCATGGCATCCCATGGCATCCCATCCCATCCCATCCCATCCCATCCCATCCCATCCCATCCCATCCCATCCCGGAACTTTGGCATGGTTTGCACCCACAGAGGTGCTCATCTCTCTGGGACAGGGCTCAGATGCTCAGACTGCTCTTTGTTCCCCTGATTGATTTTCCCATCCTCGTTGTGCTTCAGCACGGGAGCAAGGGAGCCTTTGGCCCACGTGGTTCTGCATCAGGATCCTGCAACCTGCAGTTGTCTATCCGAGGAAAGGTCAGGCCATTGAGGTCACAGATTTTTGCTTTTCCAAAAGGTACAGAAGTAATGGAGCTTTTGAAAATGTTTGCAGGGCACATACGAAGCAGAGCCAGACCAAGACTTGGGGGTCCTGAATTCCARCCTGGAGTAAAAATATTTGTGCCAATAACTTGATCACCGGGCTTGACCTTTCCTTTTAGTGACTTTGGGCTGAAGGTTTGAGGCAGAAGCAYTGCCAGCATGGGTGCCCATGGTGAAGACACTGGTTCATTCCCTAGGAAGGAGGATGCAGAAGCAGGATGGTTATTGACATGACACCAGCTGGAGGGGGGTAGAGAGGTGCAATTCTTCACTCACAGAGGTTTTATTGTGTCCCAGTGGCTCCCAGTCCCTCAAAAGCTGCTGTGTTCCATGGTCCCACTGCAGCGTGTGGCAGAGCCTGGCTCTGTTGAAGGAGGGACTCGTCTCCCCTGCAGTCAGAGCAGAGGTTAATGCAGCTCTGGGGAGCTGGCTGAGCCCTTGTCTAAATACTCTGCCTGCCCTGGAGCTCATTAGTGCTGCAGGCAGTGCCCTGAGCAGGGTCAGGGCTGGTGTGGGGCAGCCCCGCCAGGAAGGACACCAACACCCCACCAAGCATGGGCTGCTCTGCTCCCCTGCCATTAACTCCCTGCCCAGGGCACTGGGCTCAACTCCAGCACACTAATTAGGGYCCACAGAGGAAGCACAAGACACACAATCAATACTATTGGGCCAAATTTGCAGCTGGTGTAAGTTGTTGATGGGCAGAGGAGTGGGAAAGAACAAGAAATGACGGGAGCTGGAGAAATCCCAAGAGAAAAGGAAGTAGCTCAGCAAGGAAAGTGACTGTGGATGAAAGCAGATTGCTTTCCTGGCCAGAATAACTTCAGAATTGGTACAAAGCTCCAAGGAAGGYTTAGGATAGCAGGTTGCATTTGCACATTGTTGCTATTTTGTGTCTGTCTCAGCAGCAACCAACTGCTGTAAATCAAAATTTAATCACTTCAACCATTTTCAACATCTGCATCAGCCTCTGGATTTCCAGACAATGTGGGATCCCATTTCTGTGGATCCCTGTGGATCCTGAATCCCATGGGAGATTCAGTGCAGAGCAGGTGAGGAGCACAGTGAGCAGRAACTGGAGGCCACAACTCCCAGAGTCTGTGGAAATGGTAACAGGGCTCATTGTTCCTACTGTGCATTTGCTCTGCTTCCTGTTCAGCTGCATCAGGTGTCAGCCTGGAGGCTTCTCTGGGTTGAGCTGAGCATCTAAAATCAGGGAATCATGGAATGGTTTGCATTGGGAGGGACCTAAAAGTCCTTCCAGTGCCACCCCTGCCATGGRCAGGGACACCTCCCACTGTCCCAGGTGCTCCAAGCCCCAATGTCCAGCCTGGCTTTGGACACTTCCAGGGATCCAGGGGCAGCCACAGCTTCTCTGGGCACCCTGTGCCAGGGCCTCCCCACCCTCCCAGGGAACAATTCCTTCCATAAATCTAACCTAAATTTGTTAAACCTAAATTTATTTTGACCTAAATTATATAAATACCTTAAAATTTGGCTATGATAAAAGCAATCAGAGCTTGATCATCATTGCAGTTTTGCTCTCTGACTCTCCCAAAACTTTGCATCTCCACTCTGCCCGATTAGCCAGCAGTGACAGCTCAGGAAATGGATTCCACCAAATCTCACAACAACTGATGTGAACTGCTCTAATCTCTGGCAGATAAGGAGTTGCTACAGCAAAGCCAACATAAACCTGAGCACTCTGGCAGGCTGGGCTGTTGTTTAGCTGCTGTTGCTAGTCAGCTACTGTACCCGATTGCAGAGACCACCCTGCCCTTAAACCTTCTCACTTAACTCRACACATACATTTTCAACACCATGTGAAGCTCCCAGCCTGGACAGGCTCAGTCACACAGAGCTGAAGGACATTGTCTGGGGATCTCTAATGCTGCATCCCTCCTCCTAAAGTCACCACAGGCACAACTGGTGCAAAATTGTTACATTAATATTGAATTAATGGCATTGCAGCTGCCCAACTAAAATAAAACCCAGTGTCTTGTCTTTGTTRGTCATCACAGCAAACATAATATTTGGAGATAGGGAGCAACCCAACGCCTTCCTGTGCAGGAAGCGTGCCTCYGTGTCATGGAAATAATTCCTTTCATATAATTTCCTTTATTGTATCCACATTGATAGCTTTTATCACTCATGTTTCCTATCTTTACCTGAAAAATACAGTCAAGAGTCCTGCTAAGCCCTTGATATGCTGAGCAGGAGGGGAATCAATTTGTGTT